GCAATTCGGAATGACATACAAACCGGCACACAATTTTCCAACAGATATATACAAAAAAAAAAAAAAATTAGCATTAAAATATTCTTATAGTACAAATTTGGAAAGATTGTACAGAATTCTGCTTGCATGCATAGAACTTCTGAAATCCAATCCTGAATATGATTCAGCCAATAATTCCACAGTGGCAATAACTTTCGTCCCTGTATCTTACCATCTGGAGTTCTTCTCGTTTAATTTCTCTTGCCAATATAGGAAAGCACCTTCCAGGAAATATACCTGCAAGTATTATTAAAATAACCAAACAAGTGCCAGCTTCTTGTCAATACATTGTCAAAATAATTAACCAAGGGCATATGAATTTCAGCAGGGACAACAAGGAGTGTGCATTCATTTTTCTCTTTTAGACCAGACTTGTTAGTGTTTCATTTTCTGGGAGAAAGTATGACCCGAACCTGCAGTTGCAAGGCTAGCCGCAATGGCTCGAAGACGATCTGGCCTTTCGGGATGGGGATGAGACTTCATTTCAACCTTTACAAGAAAAACAGCAGTGTAGAAAATATAAGTACCGGCAAAGAACTACTTTCGACAGGCTTCTATGTCTTTGTGGACTGTTAAAAATTACATTACTAAGCTCACACTCAAAGTAAAACCATATACTACATTAAGGGTATATCTGGCACGTAGGATTGAAGAATATTAACAAAGAGAAGCATGTGGAAAAATTCGTCAGTTATCATGTCTTATCTCCTCTCTCTGACGTATCAAACAGGCGATAAAGGATAGTGCTGAGCCAGAATCCAATTAAATGCACAAAAACAGCTAATATCGTGGAGACATACAGCAGACAAATAAAAAAGTGTAAATGAAGAGGCAGTAATAATGCTAAAAGATGAAGAAGTTGGGTATCTCGATAGAAACTTGTAAAAGAAAATGTAGGTTAGAAGTACATACTTCTTCATGAAGCAACATCCTTTCGTCAAATCCTATGGCAGTAGATTTGTCCGATGCAATTGTTTGCAAGCATGAACCTACATCAATAAAATAAATTAAAAACAAAAATTGAGAATTATTATAGTGTACTAAATAGAAATATGGCAAGGCAACGGAACCATGTATTAACTATAGAACCAATAAAGCAAGAAAATCATAACATACCGTCGTGTATGACATTCAAGACAAGGAAGGAAGCAACAAATAAATAAGGAAAAAAAGAAACTTCACTGCTAAGCAAATAAGCTGAACTTTCTTTGGAGAGACAATAAGTCATTTTATTTACTATATTTATAAGTTGGTAAAAAAGTTAACCATGAAACAAGAAGGCTAATGGTAACATAAAACGGATATGAGGTATAAATACGGTCTTGAATATATTTAGAATCATCAACTTGCAAGCCGAAGAAACTTTTTTGTAGCCATGAATCAAAATATCCACTCCTGCATACATATTTCTTTTTTCTTCTTTGTAACAGAGTCAAAGAATACCATTACTCTATTCAAATTAATTTGCACAAGGACTGAACCTCGCTCTGATCAAACTCAGGATTCCTCACCGTGGCAGGTTAAGCGTGGAATAAAAAATCTTGCAAAGGTTATGCCCGGTTAACACGGAAAATTTCTCAGGATTGAAGCTTCATTTTTGTCTCATACTATATAGAGAATACATACTCAACCAGATCCGACATATGTCTTCATCATATTCACTAGGGAACTTTCCAAGATTTTATAGTTTTTCTTAATTTCAACCATAAGAGAAAAGCTTAGGGAACTCCAGAAAGTTGCTCTTCAGCACTCACCATTTAAGGTATTGAAACAAATTCCAAAAATAGAGACCTCTTATCAAACCTTCTGTAGATAAATTCTGTTGGAAATTCAGCACCCCATGTATAATCTTGTCGGCTGCATGAAGTTCCACCTTGTCAATTAAAATTTTCCTGTTCATGTTTGCAACTGCATTTTTTTTGTTTCCTTCGCTAACTCAAAGCCCACAGGACCTGCCATGTAATAGCTGCTCCACTATTCCACTGCCTTAGCAACAAAGCCCTCCCCATCCTGCATATCCAGTGCCATCAAATCATCTAATGAAGTAGGGAGTTTTGTTTCAAACCTCCCAAACTCTTCAGTTTTCAACCTATGAAAATCTTCTTTAATAAGTTCCTTTCTTTCCCTTCACCAACTTAAAGCCTGCAGAACCTATCGTAAATGCTCACTCTACCATTCCACCACTTGAGCCATAAATCCCTCGGTGCAGTAACATGTTTTTAATGGAAAGGTCATAAGATCCCTGCTTATCCCCCATTATTAAGAAAGATCAGTGAATAATCAGAGAGAGGCCTAGGTACACACTGCTGCAGGGCTGCAGCAAATTACGGAAGATTTCCCAAAAATTAGAAATTATGAATCAATCTATACAGGACCTGGATGAGGAATCCCTTGACCTTACCCAAGAAAACTCCCACATCCACCTGTCAGAGGTCAATCAACCAGACTGACCTCAAAGGTAAAATTGTTGAAATCGGCCGTGGATGAAGTAAAAGACCATTCCACCATTTCATCTGGGAAGCAGATGACAATAATGTTTCACGATCAAGAAGTGTAGAATCCACTCTTTAACCACCAAAAAGTCAAGCCACGCTAACGAAAAATTTAAAGCAAACTCGTCGAGCTACCATTTAGGAGTAAGTAATAACCTTTATCTCTTTCAGCTATTTCTGTTTCGTTTTGAAGGAGACATTCCTCCTGAGAAAAGGGGGAGGCAAAATATCCATGCTTTAGTATTCCAGATTTTCTATGTTCACCACATACCTACATCCAAAGTATTGCACATCCAGTTGCTTAAAAATGTACTTCAACTTACAAAATTACAGTTAATAAAAATTAACGGGATTCTGTGTAAAACATGTGCGTACATTGCAATGGTCGAAATTATCAAGATTAAACATTGTGCAATTGACACAAAACCACTTGGTGATTTCAACAACGTGATGGTTCTCAAATGGTTCCCAATCACTGTCTTCATCCTCATCCTCGTCGAAATCATAAGGGGTATTGTACATATCCTCTAAAGTCATATCACTCTTCCGCTTCGCTTTTGCCTGCAGTAGTGAATCACGCAGCAGTCAACAAAGTGAAAAACAACCACTTATCACAACCAAGTAGCACGAAACCACAAGCGCCGTCAACCCCAGAAATAAAAATATTAAAAAAATGGAAAAGGGAAAATGATAACATTAAACAAACATTTTTATACATATCTGTATTTGGTACACACACACGCACACGAATAGAGTGGGTTGCTTACGGATTTTGTAGCATCCTCTGCATTGGAATTGGGCTCTGAGTCTCCATTTTGAAGATGATTTTCAGCCTCTCCATTGTTCACACGAGTCATTTTTTGGGTCAAATCCTTAGGGCAGGCAAACATGCGAATTCCCGGAGGATTCGACTGATGATTTGAGGGGAGCAGCAGAGAAAGGAAATACTATCGGCAAGCGCGAGTATCTAGTAAATGGCTTCTTTTTTTTTTGCTGATACACCCTCCGGTTTTACTTTTAGCGAATTGAACTCCTTTTCTAAACTTAGTTTTTCATGGGAGGTACATGGTTAAGTTGAATAGAAGAGAACAAATGTAGATTTCACACGTTCGACAAGTTTATAATTTTTTATAAGCTATTCAAATTCTATTTGAATTCACTGTCTCTCGTAGGATTCACAATTTTTATATATTTTTACCCACTTGTCACATATTTCATAATGCAATTATAACGAAAATGAGTTGTGGATCTGGCAAATACATGTATAATAAGTGGAATAATGTTTTTTATTACAACTGAGATCATTAGGTGATGTGGGGTGAAATTATAATATCAATTAGAATATGAGACTCGCTTTATTATTCTTGTAATTTAATCTCAAATTCCACGAAGGTGATCCCTAGCGGGACAAATAACATAACTCTAATAAGTAGATAAAAGCCGTGAACGTATAATTGAAATTAATTTTTGACTTTGATGGCAACTTATAATAAAATTACAATTTTTTAACGAACAAGTTATTAATGAAAGCTTTACCTAACGTACTCTTTGTGCATCCATGATTCTCATAACCCTCTGTATATGATTTCCCGCCTTTTTCTCTATAAAAAATATCACGATGATAGAGATGTGGATTCTTCTTCAACGTGTTGGTTCGAATATATATACTTAATCGGTAAAAAAATTACAGGGTTGCTGCTTGATTTATTTTTCTCTTAAGAAAATAATTCATTATTTTAGTTCACTGCTTTGATGGGAAATTTACGGATAACACAATGGAACATTTTTTTTTATGAACTTTTCATATGTAATTAAGTGAAGAGAGTAACTATCAGTCTAATTGATATCCTTTCGAATGTTACGATCGATCTTTTTTATGCGCTTTAGAAGAAGTTTCTTGATAAAGTTTTTTCTCGACTTTTAATTGCACATTCCCAACCATTTTTTGACATTACTATTTTGAATGCGTTATGAAGGCTAGATCCTCTGTAACTAGTAAGTATTATTGAGAGCATTGTACCATAGACTTTCCGTCACACCAATCGAATACTTACCTTATGAGTCTTACTTTTTCTACCCTCACTATGTATCGTAGTCGCAGATAGAATTTGATCCTTCAAAGCAAATTTATGTTGAAGTAAAAGAACGGGAAATGCATCTGATTCTGCAAGTGAGGCCATTTTTTCAGAAAACACACTAATTACAGGGATATATATATATAGATACATATATAGACATTTAATTGAAGTGCGAGCTTGGCCAGAGAGCCAACAGAAGCCACAGTAGTAGTACCGAAGTTTTTTTTTCCTTTTGTACAAAGAAAATGCATAGATAGCTGCCAATGGCCTACAGTTCAAGATAACTATCAGCATGTTATGTAATAGATAAAACAGAGCTAAAATCTTGTCTATTGCATTGTAGACAATAGTCTAATACTGCAGCATGCTAAACATGCACCAAAGGTAAGAGCTAGCTATTCAAACTTGGGCAAGAATCAGAATCTGTTGGCTTGGGAATCATTGGACCACCATTCATCCTAGCACGTGCCTCGGCAAACATCCTCTGCTGCTCAGCCAATGCCTCTTCCTCGCTCATATCGGCTCCGTTGCTCCATTTCCCAGTTCTCACCGTGTCCTGTTTCCAAACATTTCCAGCACAAGTAAATATTGAGCAACTATCAAGGATTCAGAAACAAAAACATTTATGGCTTATTTGGTACTTGGTAGGGTGGACGGTAAAATACTAGACGGTATTAAATATAAAAAAGAAAGTTGAAATATTATCAATTGTACAGTGAGACTTATCCAGCATTGTATCAAACATAGCCTTAAACCCTTATAGCAGTATAAAATACACACTCTAAAATCCTTAGCAGTTAACTTCAGTTAACAGGTTCGACCGACAATTTCAAACTAAAACCATCCAAGAAATCAAAAACTACACAGAATTGACACAATGGAATTGGAAATGGGAATAAGAGAAATGTTAAACAATTTTGTGAAGACCAGACATGGCTAAAATAAAGACATTGCTCCATTAAGATGAACTTTGACAATACCCAGTAGAACCAGAAAAAACACCAGCATGAAGCCCATCAAGTCAGAGAGAGAAACAGAGAGTACTTGCCATAGTCTCAAGTTTGTGTTGTTCATATGCAGCGAAAACTTCTTCATTATACTCCCCAAATCCAAGATCCTGAAAGATTAGTTTTGAAAAATAATAATAATTATAATTATAAAGGGAAAAATGAATGCAGTGCACAGACCAATAAGAACTTATTTAGTCCTTGTTTGAGCCCCATTCTCTAAAACTCATTTTTTCCCCAAACTCATTTTCAATCACATTGTCCCAATAAAATAATTTTATACGTAAACCCGAAACCTTCCATACTTTTTAACCACACATTCTCCAAAAAAAGTCATGTCTTACAAAATCAATTCTCAAAGAATGGGGCTCAACTTGCATGTTACCCCTCAATAGTGTTTATATTATCAAGTTGCATTTTTTACAAACGATTTAACATGGCCAATACAATTAATTTTGCTGAAGTGAAAGTCCTGAGATGAAGTTATAGAGAAAGTAAATCAGCCAAGAGATCATCAAATACTTCCTCTCTATTCAATATTGAGTCTAGTAAGATGAGAAGGATAATTGCTGCTACAGAACAAGAGTACAGAAAGAAAAATTATTAACCATCTTTGCAGAGTCAAAGAAACTACCATCATTTCACCCTGGCAGTCATAATACAAATCTTGAGGTGAAATAGCATCCAAAAAACGAAGTTAGAAAAACAAACAAGAAAACACCAGTTAGTTACCATAAAAACTTCATGTTACATTCAACAATCCAACTTGACCACATGTTATTCGGTTCCAGTAACAATGTTTTTCACCAGTTACCCATGCTATTAGAACAGTTACTCTGGTGATATATAGATACGTGCACACGTAATGAAATCCAATGTTGAGCTCCAGGAATTAAATGGAACACCGAGAAATTTTAAATGACAATTAATATTAAATTTCATAATATTGGGGCACTGACAGCTAATGTAATAGATGCCAGTATGAGTAATCAATTAGCCACAAAAAGGGATTAGACATGAGGACTACCAGTTGACGTATCAATTTTCTACAAAATTCTCCTTCAGTGGATTTATCTGTTTTAATTGTAATAGTTAGACATATGTCATTGATTTTATTCTTCCATACATAGAAGAGAACAAGATACTGGTGTTCTAGTGACAGGATCAATTCATAACCATGATGACCAGTCCTTGAACAATAAGCAATGATAGAGGAAGAGATTAAGGAACAAAAAGTTCCTCCAGAAGTTGTCCATAAGTCATTACCATTTCACCAACTTGGAAATTTTTTATTTACCATATCCAACAAAATGGACAGGAAGGATACAAGGGAATCAGAGGAGAAATATAGAATTATGGTTAGAAACCTGTAAAGCCTTGAGTACATGTTCTGGTGCAATTGTTTTCCTCTCTTCCCTGTTACAAACTTCATTTGATTCTGATGAAACAAGATTAATAAACTCTGCAACAGCAAAAACACATGAAAATCGCACGGACTTCAGAATATAGCATGGAATATTTTTATATGAACTAGGAAAAAATGCTGTAATAAGACTGAGATTTAAACAATATTGAACTGCACAGGTTAGCTCAGCTGCTAGAGGAATAAATCAATGCAGTAATCACAAATACTAATACTCCTAAAAGTACAGAGCATCACAAAAAGTTAAGGCTTTGGTTAGGCAAGATCAACCTGAATATTCTCGGTATTGAAAAGAAAAAACTCTAAAAACCCTATTACCAGTGATTATGGCAGTTAAGAGCTCATCTAACACAACACCATAAGATGGTGAGAAGACGAATCACGGCAGAAAATATACAGGCACGTAAAAAAAACACTTCATTCTAAATGCCATCCCCTTGATATAAAATGACAAAAGATGAAAACTGCAGAAACAATTATACATTTAGTAACCACATCCAGAAATTATAGTGCATGAAATTCAGATAAAACAGTGTTTGAATTGTTTCTTCAAAATTATCAGTAAACTATTAAAAATTAAAAGAGATGATAGAAACCACGTATGTATGTAATCAATCAGACACAACATTCAGTCCACTTACAAAATGAAAAACAAAAGAAGAAGTTAGTCAATCATACTTAAGCTATTGTCGTTGTCCTTTCCTTTTGCACAATAGAAGAGAAATTTCAAAATAAAAGAATGAAAATACATACCTACACAACATTCAATCAAAAGATCCTGAGCATCTCTTGCAACACGAACATCAGGTGGGAGCATCTCCTTAATAATTTTCGTCATAGTTGCTGAAAAGATGTCATTAGCTCCAATTACTTTTGAAGACAACAAGATCCTCAACAGAAACTTCATTATTATTCATTTATTCTTACTCCCACTATTACTGACGTGACATTGCATGTATTGTCATCGGTTACACTCAACCTAAAACCCTTAAATTTCCAAGTACTAACACAGAATTCCACCTTATAACCCTTTTTTAGTCTTATCAACAAATACTACATTATCATGTAATAACTACTCAAGGCACCTCAAGAAGTAAGCTATTTCATGACTAATGGGCAACAATAAGACCTTCGAACGAAAACTTAGGTGCATGCTTATAGTGATGGGAAAATCCCTGCTGTTTCCGAGAAGTTTTAAATTGAAGGCAATTCATATTGAAAAAATTAAAAATCAAGAGTCAGCTTTACGAAATGTGCATAAAAAGGGAAGAAAAACGAACCTTTAGGAAGCGAAGCATCCTCTTTTGTTTTACCAACAATATCCATGGGTTCCATTGTTACCTTCAAACCAAAATTAATCTCAATACAACACAGTATAAACTCTGTCTACGTATAGAAATATCAAATTACATAGTTTAAGCTTTATTTAAAAAATAGTAAAGCGATGAAAAATCTAGACTTACTGGGATATAGAAAACTAGAGAATCGGAAAGATAAGCTGGAAAAGTAATAGTTAGCCGAGAATCAGCGAATTGAAAGATATTAGATTGAGAGTGAAGCAGCAGCCGTTAGCCGCCGCAGACAGCGGTTCGTGGTCGAAGAGAGAGAATGATTGTGGGGATTCTCCTCGGACGATTTGGGGAAAAATTTACCATTGAGTTACTTATTTTTAGGCTCCATTTGGGAGCCATTCTTTTTCAAATAATACATTTTATCTTTCACATCAAGTGGGGTCCATGGAGAATGTGTGGTTGAAAAAGAAGGAAAAGTTATTGATNTGTGGGTGAAAAAGAAGGAAAAGTTATTGATGTGATGGAAAATATTATGTTATTGAAGAATGTGTGGTTAAAAATGAGTAGAAGAATGAGAATGAAAATTTTAATGGTTACCAAACGGAGGCTTAAAGTCAATTTTAATTTCACATTTTTAAGTTTATTTTTAAAAATAAAAAGGGTATAAACCTAAAAGCATATTTGGCAAAGTTTTTATTAGATTGTAAATTATGATTATGTGAATGTGTAAAGTAATATCGAATGTGAGAATAAAATCAGGATTGATCAGTTCATGAAGATTTATAAATTTCATCAAACTTTATATTTTAAAAGACAAATTATAAGCCTTGATAAATATTAGCTCTAATGCGGCGTTTGACAGTTTTTAAGCCTAGATAAACAAAGCTCTAATGCGGCAAAAAAAACGTATAAGTAGCTTTTAAGCATTATGATCAACTATAAAGCACGAGAAAGAGAGCACATGGAATCAACAACCGCAAAATATGTGTCCATATATGTAGTTTTCACACAATTTAGGACAATCTTAATCGAGTGTGACATATTTAATAAAAGGAAACAAGCTATCTTTAAAGATGTGAAAACTGAAAAACATGTAACGTGTATGGGATAAGAGGTGAATGAGATCATTAGAGAAGCACGTCGCCTACTCTTTTTAGAAAATATCGGTCGTGTTTTTGTATTAGTTATTAATTCCACATTTTAATGAAAAATATAAACATTGCAGTAGTAAGGTGAACAATGATCCAGCCGCAATATTTGAAAAATGTACGGCAACCGTTTTTTTTAGTTTGAAATGTCAAAATTGTCCAATGTGTGAAAATTACGTCCAAACAAGTTAGGGGCATTAGGGTCTTTTTTACCAAAATTTTTAATTGAATGTAGATAATACATTCAAACATGACTGTCAAAGTGGGCCCGCTCACTGTATAATGGTCGAATTATTAATTTTTATTTTCGAAGAATGACTTCCAAACAAGGGCTTAAAAATTACATTTTTCAATTGTTGTTCACAACGTAAAATGTATTTGTAAATATGAACCCCTAAATATGATGCGTTTTGGAGGCTGGGATTGATCCCTACAGTGCGTTCAGTTTGGATCATGTTAGGTACCAATATTAGGGGTTCAACTTTTGATAGTTCTGGTACAAGACAGTGTGTAGTAGACCTTCTAAGCAATGCAAATGTATAAAAAATGTTGTAGATTATTTGGATGATGATCAATTGGTGAATATTGAGCTATCAGCCTCGCCATATGATTATGCCCAAGTTTGAGCCAAATTATCGTTGAATGAGAATGAAAAATATAGTCATTATTGGGCCCACACAAGAGATAGAAAATTTGAATTTAAATGTTGATGTGATGGATAACGGTCATATTTTTCATTTTAATGACATAATAAGGTAGCTCAAACAAGGCCTATATATATGTTTTGCACGTGTAACTTTATTTCATGGAATATTGTTTTGGAGGACACACTATCTCTTATTCGAACTTACGTGCACGTGTTGACATAAATTTCAATCCAAGTCCAATAAGGTATCTTGAATTGGAATGTAAATGGGATATCCTCATTCCCCAAATAGCTTTCACATCTTCTTATAATGAAATGTATCATGATGTCTGCTTGCACTCTTATTTTTCTGGGATGTCGATCTAGCTGTACTTGGTATGATAATTAGACTTCGAAAAATACCTTCTACATCATATGTTGAATGGTATACTGTCAATCCCAAGCGAATGCTAATTGCTAAGCATCCTGAAAATTGAATTTCATTTTCTTACTTTCCTTCCTTCAATATACATCATTTTTCGATTGTTTGACTCTCATTTTACTTTTCAGTTTAGATACATTGTGCTGACATCTGCTAGCATCATGGACCATGAAGAGGCTACAAGAAAGAATGTTGGTGGAAAAGTGCTAGGCCTTTTCTATTAAACTATTTGCAGTTCTGAGAACAAGTTTGAAATCTTCCATCCACAAAAAAATAGCTTTTTGCTGCAATTTTGGAAGTCCTTTAATGTCCAAGTAGCTGTGTTTGCTCTATTTTTTGTTGCTCAGAAAATGCAAGTAATTTTAGCTGCAATTCTCGGATGGCATTGCCTTCAATGACTTATTTTGTGGCAAATAGTGAGTGTTCATTTCTTTAGTTGTATGATATTTCTGCGATTGCACAGCTACTGAATGCAAGCTTTGTAGATTATCAGGATTCAATAACGGGTTTTCATCATTCATCTGTATGCAAGTTTTTGTTGTTTAAAAAAAAATATAAAAAAAAAATATATATATAGAAAAGTAAAGTAAATGACGAAGGCTCACCACGAGAAATAGTGTTGTTACAAATTCTAGTTCCATTTATGATGTTTCATCAGAAATGGAGCTAGTACCCTAGCTTTTTTAAGTAGTTCAAAAAATAAGTTCAAAAAAATCTACAACTTTTCAAAGAAACTTATAGCACACCTGTGATTTCAGTGCATGTAGATGTAGATGGAACAATCGAAGAGATTTAAACTTGATATTATTCCGTAATAGTGTCGAGTCCTATACAATACATCCTACCATTAAGTCAATCTAGTCAAAGAACCAATAATACGTTGAAGGATGTAAATCTAAAATTCAGACAGAGAACCTTTGTAAAGACTATCAAGTCTGGATGGGTGGACCCATATACATCCCTGGCCGCATATACAGATCCTCTGGTGTGTTGATCTCTGCAAGCCATGCGTAGTCCACGTTTTCAACACCATTCTCATGTCCGTCATCTCCCGTCGCTGCAAAAATTGAAAATCAATTAGAGTCACTGAGGTTTTGTCCACTTCCCACTTCTAAGTTTGTTAAATAAATGAGAGAGTTACTTACGGAAGCTGGAACCCGGATAATCATGGTAGTAAGTACATTTCCTACCAGCAACTTCATCATAAGGAGGTGCAAGGATGTCAAGCACAGCACAAGGAGTTATTGCAGTAAAAGAGTGCAGATTCCCTCCGCTCTTTGGGTACAGAACAGATGTACTACACGGTGCTGTCAGGACTTCATCGACTACCAATTTAGCCAATTTCACTGGAAATCAATGAGAACTAATTAAACTTCAGACCGACAAGTTATCAGAATTAGGAACCAAGGATTAACGAACAATAAACAAATTACCAACTAAGTTGTCACGTTTCTCTTTTTCCTTGCAGTCATCAATGATAGATAATGACAAATGTTATCACCGCGGTGTAGTTAGTTCATCACTTCTATTATAGTGAAAAATTGAACTATAGCAATCACTTCCATAGGAAAGGAGATTACAAACAACTGAAAAATGATTACAAAAAAACTGAGTTTGTCTTGTAATTTTGGGTACAGCTTGTAAAAACTTATTAAATGAGAGGGGCTGAAAAAATGTAAACGGAAAGTGGTGGGACGTAATTGGGACTGTTGAAGTGCTGCATTATATAAAAGCACTTGTGTGGAGCTATGTATATGATTAGCTCTCTACAATCACTAGTGGCCATGCATATGTGGAACTTGTGTTTTGACGCCAAGTTCCTATAGCATCTTACCTTGGTGGTGTTCTTAATACTGTGCACTGCTATGCTATTTGATCTTCCCTACCAAACATGCCCCCTTCAGTGATTATGCTTTGACGAGTTCATTATAAAGCAATGTTCTAAAATGCGTAANCTAAAATGCGCAATGAGTTGCGACCCTTCGAGTCCGAGAATCAAGAATCACAAGTTTAGGCGTGTCAATGCGAAGAATAAGCGTCATAATGCGTTTCGTATTTTTAAGGCATTAAATATATTTTTATATTAAAAAAATAGATTTTTTACCCAAAAAAAAATAAAATTAGGCGGCGCATTAGACGGGATTAGGCGCATTGCGCCGCCTTTTAGAAGAAAAATGCATTTTCTCTCATACCACGAATTCGACACGTTTTCTCCACGTGTCGCGCCTAGGCGGCTCATTTGCGCGCATTTTAGAACATGGTTATAAAGACATTTAACTCTCGTCACATTATTATGCTATGATCTCATTAACTTCTTCACTCAAGGCTCCAAAGGAAAATGAAATTTGCAGTAGAATTGAATAGAACCACTTTATAATTACAATGACCATATATTTAAGGCTTTTCAAACTCTCGGTTTATGCTTAGAGAGGGAACTTAACTCAAAAATGTTTTCATGGCTATAACAAAATCAATGGGTGTTTGAAGTGGATATTTTAGGTTAATATATTATGCCCATCATCCTTTTCATTTTCTAAATATATCCAACATTAGATATTTATGACCGTAGGATTTTTGTGCTAACTTATTTTTAAAATAATTCCCAGGCCGTCAACTTAGGTTTCTTATTGTTTCAGATTCAAATAAATCAAGGAAATGCACGTTCATTAGGTAAAATGATCGTGTATTACTCTATTATCAGTTGAAGCCCATGTATTATGGTAATTTCCAAATATTTCTGAACTGGATCTCTTCTTTTTTTTTCTGAGGACAAGTATTTGATGCAGTTAATAGAAGGATCAAGAACAAGAAGAAGCAAATATAATAGCATAACTTCTAGAATTTTATTAGACTGAGGTTGTTCCAGTTCAAAGGCATTTGCTCCTCTATTCCTCCAATAATAGAGTCCATCTGAAAATTTTTAATACTATTTTTCCAGTTCAAATGACCATATATCTTACACTCGACCACGAGCATTTGGTTCAGTATTTCAAAAATACTGAAAATTCGGTAGTTAATAGAAATTTTTGAGTATTTTGGAAAGTCGTGTCTTTAAAAGTCATGAGAACTAGTTTGGTAGGCTAATGTGTCTAGCTTTCAATGCAATTTTAAATTCTACATATACACGAAATTGCTCTGTTAACTATTTCCAGCGAAAAAGATGGCATACAGGTAAAACAAGATCATGTGGTATTCATGTAAGGATTGAATAAACCAATAAGGGGAAAGAAAATAATAGCTGGATATATGTAATGTAAAATGTGGTAAAAAAAATTAGGAACTAATTTAGAATTCATATAAGTTCAGAATTGGACCTGTAGCAGGACCTGCTCCCTTGATTTTCTGGGTGTTGGCTGGCTCAACCCAATCATATGCTTTCACATGCAAAGAACCATATAGAACTTTGCTCAAAACAGTCATGCCAGGATGGTCATGAAGAGGAATAACTGAGGAAGCAGGGAAGCAAAACATGCACATCTGCAATTTTAATATCATTCCTTATTTAACCAGTCTTGAAAAACTATCGAAACATCTGAAGAACACCAATTTTACTTAATTCTCTATGATATTTCAATGTTCCTTTTTATTTAAAAAAAATGACTGAAATACGACAACTTAGGAGTTTTGTCAAGTCAGCCATATTTTAAAAGATATATAACAATGAAAATGAAATCTAGAATTGTAAAGGACAATATACGACCAACAAAAGATGTTTGCTCTAAAAATACAGGTTTCCATAGAAAAATTTGGAAACCGTCCAGGAAAGGGGGAATGGACAAATGACAAAATGCATTGAAAGTCAAAAATGACTGAAATAAAACAACTTAGGAGTTTTGTACACAGAAATATTTTGATCTTGTGCAAACACAGCCCATAACAGAGTTTATCTTAATCAATCTAGTGAATTTATTTGCAGCACAGATAATAGATGAAAGTTGGTATGGCACACGTGTTTGTTCCTGCTACGATTTTTGATGAAGTTAGTGTCAAAAAGAGAGTGGGAACTGATAGAAAAGCCTCCTTCAGCTACAATCATCAAATATATGTAACTTGCTTGAAAGTCCTAAGAAAAACAGCAATAATAACACCCACCCTTCTTGTTCCCAATTTTCACCAAAATTTATATATTGATCTCTCTTTTGGGTTCTGTGCTATTCAACTTTTGTAGGGCGGCCTACTGAATGGAATTATGCATCATATGTTCCAAAACAGTGACCAAACACTTTTTCTCTCTAGTGAAAATTTTCACCCAAAAAATGATAATTTTCACCCAAAAAATGATACGAGATGTATTCTCTTGTCTAAGCTTCTTCCCTATGCATTGGATACCCCAATCGAAGAATTGCATATACAGCTTATTAGAAGTAGAAATTTATGTCTCTCTCTCCAATTTTTTTTTTACAACGGCAGCTTTCTCTAGAAGCTACAATTGTATATCTGTCAAGAGAGCAATCAATTCTAAGGATATCCATGTTCACAAGATGGAAAGTTCATGATTACAACTTCATAGGAGGACTATTTCAGTAGCTGTAGCTTTGAAGATATGGTAAGGTTGGCAAAAGATATAAAAGCACAATAAACATAACAAATACCAACTAAAAATCTGAAAGAAGATGTTTACATATTTCATATGTAAAAAATAGCTGAAGATTAGTGAAAGCTTACTGTGAAATTTTCACCCTCGTGCATATCCACGTAAGTTATTGGCTGAGCCCATCTACTTACTCTGTTGAATAGCTTAATTCCAAGAGGACCATGACCTCTATCGTTCTCTTTGTTTCCATTGTCAAGTCCAACATCAGCAGGGCCTATTGTGTCTGTGAAACAATAATCTCAAATGATTACCTAAGGCATACTTTTTAACATGCTGACAGATAGTGTTGACATGCCCGAAAGTATCTCAGGGATAATATTCAGTTATGCTAACTCGGTTTTAAACTCGGTAAACAAAGGAATTCAAGGCTATAAGTAGAAACCAAATAACAAATGTTGGCAAACGTTCTTGGTGAAAGAAAAGAAGAATTGCCATAGGTTCTAAACATGTTTGATATGTTAACTTTTTCTTACTTTTAAATTAAAAAAAAACTTTCCTTATCCAAAGTAACTTTTCACATTGCTGTCAACATTTATATCTTCCTTTTTAGAATTTAATCAATCCAAACTATTTATATTAAAGCAAATCTTTTTATTTATAAGTAAATTTCACTTAAAAGTAAACTCTTTAAGTTTCCCCGTGTTGTTACCACTATTATATCACTTAAACTCTCTCTCTTCCCCCCTCCCTCCTTCCTTTGTTATTTGTATTCTTTTCCTTTTCGAGAAAGCTAGATAGCCCTTGTTTGATCCCCATTATCTTAAAACTCATTTTTTTCTCAAACTCATTTTCAACAATGCATTCTCATAATAAAATATTTTGCACGTAAATCAAAAACTTTTCCATACTTTTTAACCACACATTCTTCAAAAATTCACCATTACAAAATGCATTTTTAATAAAAATGGGTTTTAATAAAAATGGGGCTCAAACACATGCATATTAATCACATTAAAAAGAAAGAAAAATGTAAAGAAAGCAAATGAACATAATTTGCACAATTGCACATACTACCGAGAAATTTAAATTATCCAATCTAAGACCAAAGCAAACCGAACCCATAATTCAAAACGCTGTATTCATACGTGTAAAGCGTAAAGTCAATGTTCGAAATAAGTTACAAATAATTATAATATATTCAACAGTAAAAAGAAAAGGAAAATGAGAGGTAGTTGAACATATTTAGCATATATCACCAAGAAATTTGAATTATCCAAATTAACACCAAAGCAAAGTAAACCTTTAATTCAAACCACACATACGTGAATGGCTCATGTCAAGTGTATATATGTAAATTTTTAAAGTAAGTAACCAATAACTACCATATATTCAACTAGAAAAGAAAAGTAAAGATGAAAGTAATGAACCTAAATTGCACATACTAATACTAATAAGAAATTTCAATAGTCAAAGGTGGGTGGGTATGGTATCACATTATCTTATAATATGGCATGCCACATAGTTTCACTCTCGTAAAGGAAAATTTAGGGTGTTGATTTCCTTTCTCTCTCACACTCAACCGCTTCAATGCCTGTAGTGTAACTTAAGAGATAACAGGAGAGAGAAAGTTTCACTCGGATTCAAATATGACGCAAGTAATGACTCTTTTCACCTGGATGTCAGCAGGTTAGCCTCTAAGGTTTAATACATCATCCAATTTAACACAAAAGAAGCAAACCCAAAATTCTAAACACTGTGTAGAAAAGACCAATGTAAAGTGTGAATAAATCATTTTGTGAGATGCAAATAAGTACAATTTATTCAACTGGAAATCAAAACGAAAAAAAAAGGAAAAAGAAAATGAAAATAATTTGCGTATACCACCGAGAAATCTCACCTGTCCAGTTTAACACCAAAGCAAAACAAACCCATAACTGAAAACAGTATATAAAAAATCCCAACAAAAGCGATTAATCAATTTTTAAAATGGGTTACATATAACTATTTCAACACTGGAGGGAAAAAAAAAAAGGAAATGAAAGGTACCCAATAAGGAGCAGAGTTTGTTAATGGCCAGAGAAGAAGGCGGGCGGGTCGCTGAGGGCGCGAAGGTCTTTCTGCAGAGGTCATATAGAGCTTGAATCGAAGGAGGAGAGCTCTTCGTCATTGTGAAGATCTTGACTGCATACACGGTTGGGGTCGGCGGGGATTATAATATTAATTTTTTGTTTTACAGCCTTTCGTCCACCGTTCCACGTTTGTTGATAAATGCTGGAATAATGCTATTTTGCCCCAAAAATGTGATATAATAGTTGATAAAATAAGTGTTGACAAGATGTGATTGGTTGAAAAAGTTGACTAAATTTTAAATAGTCCAATAATATGTTTCCACGTGACATTATGTCAATGATTATGTCAACCATTATGTTCATGTAACATGATTCTAAATGATGACCCCTTTTGATCGTATTTTTTAATTTTAAAATTTATTTTTCTTTAAAAAAATTAAATTAGTTTCAATTATATATTTTTTTAATAAAATAATTTAATACGTAAATTTATATTTTTCATTTATTTTTACTACACCTCTGTAAAAAAAAATTACATATATTTTTTTTAAAGAATTTATGCCAAATATGTCAAAAGTATTAATTATATTTATGTATGAAAATCACTTATCATTAAGCCCTTATTTGCCCCCCATTATATCTCATTACATTACATTAAATTTTTTTCTCTCTTCATCTCAACCATACATTCATCAAATAAAATAATAATACACACAAATCTAAAACTTTTCAACCACACATCTCCCATCAATCACTATTCTACAAATTTTCAACCCCCTAAAAATCTACAATAATGGGGGCCAAACAGGGGCTAAAATTGAAATTTATGTATGAAAATAACCGAGCCTATGTTCGGCACTCATTATCTTTCTCATTTTTTTTCTCTTTTTTCATTTCAACAATACATTTTTCAAATAAAATAATATTACACACAAATCTAAAATTTTTATCACTTTTCCACCACACATTCTCTCATCAATCATTATTTCAAAAATTTTCAACTCATTAAAATGGGTGTCGAACACTCACTTCTTTTTTCTCTTTTTCCTACTTTTCTTTTCCTTCTAATATGTTTTCTCGAGATGAGTCGAAAATCTTGGTAATCTTCTACTTTTAACGGTTTTACCCATGTTAATGTGTTATACAATTATAAAAAATAAAATTATTTTCTAATTGGAGAATCACGAAAATATGTTTGACCTTAATTTAAAAAGTTTACTTATAAATAAATGATTAAATTCTAAAATAACTAGTTTATTTTGTGAATAAAGTTAAAATTAAGTAAAATATTTATTTTGATAATAAAGTAATAATTGATTTTAAAATACATAACATTTTTCACTTAAAAGCAATAGAAATAAATTAATTGAATATATTTTCAGAGTTAATTTTTACTATTTGACAAGCTTAACCAATCAAATCCAAAAAAATTTACCTCGAAACTATTTTTGCACTTCTTTTTTTTGCCTTTTAAAGTGAAATAAGTAATTTTTTTCGCGGAAAAGTTATAAAAAGAAAATTATTTGAAATATTTCATTTTTTTGTGTAGAGTTAGTTAATTGTTTCAATAATCATTTAATTTATACCAAGGTATCGGTTTACTCACTAAATTTTAAAGTACTTCATAGTACTTATTGAACTTTGCCCACTTACACTCTATTTGTCACCCTTGAAAATTTGTTACATTATTCACTAATGCGGCTAACGAAAATCTCACGTGGCAAGATTTGATTGTTAAGAGAATTAAAACTCGATTAAACCATTTTTTTTATTACTCATCCAATTTACAATTGGTCACACTTTACTCATTAAACTTCAAAATGCTTTTAAGTGATCACTCATCTTTGAGATATTTTACTCCATCGATCATTCGCCATATTTTGATCACTTCGTTGCTAATGTATCGCATGAAAATCCCACATGGCAAGTTACAATTGTTAAAAAAATTACAAATCCGTCAAACCATCAACTTTCCAAAATCACCATATGTGAAAAACAACTTCCACGACCCCATAAACTTTTTTAAGACCTAATAAAGCGTTTCCATTTCCAACTCTAAAAAAAACTAGCCTCCAATTCACTCATCTCACATACGTACAACTAAATTGTGTAATAAAAGAGAGCCAATTGCTAAAATGGATGTAAGAAGCTATTACTCATAAAGTCATATCCCCAAATTGTACCATATGCTCGACGTGTCTCTTATTCCAATCTTATATTTTTACGGGCTCGTATCCAACAATTTGAGAAAGGAAATGCCATTGAACTCCGACCAAATTAATGAACAAAGAACAGCAAACAAGATCACGGCCCAGAACGTATTCTAACGGTGTGCCAACTATCGAAGTTCGATGGTCTTTCATTCCTCAAATAGTTGGATACACGTCTGCAAAAATAGGAGTTTTGGGATGAGAGAGACGTCGAGTAAATTATACAATTCGGGCATATAACTTTATAAGTAGCAGTTTCTCGCGTCATTCTCAACAATCGGCTCTGTTTTAATACATAATTTAGCAGTACATGGAAGAGATGAGTGAATTAGGAGCTATGACTTTTTTTTTAGGGCTTAAATTGATTATGCTTTATTGGGTTTTGAAAAAAGTTTATGGGGTCGTGGAAGTTGCATTTCACATACGGTGATTTTGGTGAGTTGATGGTTTGATTGAGTTGTAATTTTTTTAACGATTGTAACTTGTCACGTGAAATTTCTGTATGATAAATAAGCAACGAATGGAACAAAATATGGTGGGTGATGGATGACGAGTGACAATTGAGAGGTATTTTGAAGTTCAATGAGTATATTTGACCACGGTTGGATGAGCGACGAAAAAATGAATTAGTTGAATTGTAATTTTTTTGTAACATATTTTTATGACATTTTCATTAGTCACGTCATCAAATAAGGTTAGGAGGACGATGATTGATGGGTGTGAATTTTTTGAGTGATTAAAGTAATATTTATTTTGCTTTTTAAGGCTAGCCAATCAAAATTGTATCTCCCCTAATTTTTCTCCACCTCGTCTCGCTTTCTACGAGAACATTGAAAATTTGAACTTCAAAACTCCCAGCATCTCACAAACACGCAAGAGTATATTTTTTGAGTAAAAAATGGGTTCCAACTGTGAGATTGAGAGTATGGGCAGTGATCATCAAGAACGGCGTCGTGTGGGGCTGATATACGATGAGAGGATGTGCAGACATTCGACCCCGGATGATGAGGACCATCCGGAAAACCCCAATCGCATAAAAGTAATCTGGGATAAGCTCAATGCATCTGGAATTGCTCAAAGGTTATTTAAGTGAATCAGTGTTTTTATTCGAATTTGTAACGAGTTTGACATGTATGTATATGTAAATATTTAAACGTGTGCGTTTGTATTTTCCATTTAGAATTTTTTTTAAAACTGTAGTTGAATATTAACGTAGAATTCAGTGATAAGAAAGTAATATATGCAATTGGAACTTCTACTCAGATAGAATGAAATAAATTTATGTTATTTAGCTTTTAGTTTGTCGTTGCTTCAATCTACGAAAGAAGAAGCTATTTTACCAATATTGGCTAAAAAAATTTACTTCTACAGGCAGCAAGACCCTTCTTACTGCGGAAAGAAGCAAGTTTTTGGCTATTTTAGTAGTATTTCAACTAAGACTTACTCGTTTCCTTCTTGAAAAAGAATACTTGGTTGCTGATATATCTTCTGCTTTTCTCCTTTTTTTTGGGTGGGTTTATGCTGCTGGCTGGTGGCGGCGTGGGATTATGCTGCTGGGTTAATAAAATTGAACCCTGCTGTTGTTTCTTACTTATACTTTTCAATTTTGCTTCACTATTCGAATTTCAAAAAATTCTTGGAAAGGGATTTAAAAGGACAATGTTATACTTTGTAGTTTAGAATAATGTAGCTATCTTTTTCCTTTAATGTTTACTTTTCATGTATTTCTCCTTTTGTATTTTATAAAGTTGCGAAACAGTAATCTTTGTGTTGAAATGCTCTTCATATACTGTGCTGTAATTGTTTACTGGTCTTGCCATTTGCCAAGAGGGTTGCTTTTGACCTAGCCGCAATTTATGCTTTTCAGATGTGTTGTTTTGGATGCAAAGGAAGCAGAAGATAAGTATTTAGCTTTGGTCCACAGCAAATATCACATTGATTTGATTAAGAATATTAGTTCCAAAAAGTTTGATTCGCGGAGAAATAAGACAGCATCAAAATTTAACTCTATATATTTCAATGGAGGGTCATCAGAAGCTGCTTATCTTGCTGCAGGTTCTGTTATAGAGGTAATTAGAAATAAACGTACTTATTGCGATCATTTTGTTCAAACGTGTGTGGCCATAGGAAATCATCCATTTCAGCCAATCAGTGAAAACTATCAACATTCAGAAAAATGCCACTTACATCTAATATAGATTCAATTATGTCGTTTGAATGCCTTCTTGTATTCGTATTTGGCTGTACAGTTAGCAGTTTGACTCTTGCTATGTGTTGCTGTGTTCCCATTGTCAACTTCTATATACCAAGGTGGTGCAATTGCTTTGGTTTTCAAGAATTTAATTGTTGAGACCTTGAAACATAGGTTGCTGAGCAAGTTGCGAGAGGAAAATTGGATTCTGGTTTTGCTATTGTCAGACCTCCAGGACATCATGCTGAAGAAAGTGAACCAATGGGATTTTGCCTGTACAACAATGTTGCTGTTGCAACGAGTTTTCTCTTAAATGAAAGAGTGAGAGTTAATTTGAGTTATTGGGCTCTAATTTTATTCGTGTTTTTTATCAGTTAGTCTATGAAACTTTCACTGTTTTTCGCATTCCTATTCATTCAGCTTATATGTGTATCACTCTTCATACTGTAGCCAGAGTTGGGTATCAAGAAAATCTTGATTGTTGATTGGGATGTACATCATGGAAATGGTACTCAAAAAATGTTCTGGAAGGATCCTCGAGTTCTTTTCTTCTCTGTGCATCGGTACGTGAAAACTTTTATATCTCAGTTCATCTTTTTTTTTAATTCAATTCAATTCAACTCAACTATAGCATCTCGTTCCGAACCTTCCTATCAGCTATTCCTTTTGTTTAACTTTAGTATGTTTTCTGTTTGTTGAAAGGAATATAGGCATTTAGGGATGATTCCTTGCTTTTAGTTGATAAAGTATTAATTTAGTCTCCTGCACTTTTTCTTCAATAATGGAACTTAGCGAGTAATCAGATTATATAAAGTCTTCTAAACCAGTTCTGCTAGCATCAGCGTATAATAAATAGCTTGAAGATTATTTTGGTCATATTGATAGCAACAAATTGTTTGTTTCAACTAGGCACGAATTTGGGAGTTTCTATCCAGGTGGTGATGATGGGTCGTATACCATGATTGGAGAGGGGCCTGGCACGGGATACAATATTAACGTTCCTTGGGAGAATGGTAGGTGTGGCGATGCAGACTATCTTGCAGTTTGGGACCATGTTTTGATTCCTGTTGCTAAGGAATTTGATCCCGACATGATTATTATCTCTGCGGGGTTTGATGCAGGTTAGCTGAACTTTTCTTAACTTTTTATGGCTGGATATCGTAGTCTACTATGTATAAATGCATCTCATAAACTAACTGCATATTTTATAAAACTCTTAAGGATGCAAGTGAGATAGAGTAAATATTTGCCCAGTTTTTTTTTTTTGCTACACTTGAACTATCCTTTGACAACCTTAATAACTAGAAAGGGCTTAGTGAAATGAAATAATGTATTTGAGAATCAACTATTACTTATTAGCTAGCAAGTGCATGTACTCATACTTTAGTTGGCTCCCTAGTGGCAAGGGAAGTTTAGATTCCCCATTGGATGGTCCTCCAATTGTGTGTTCTCACTAATTGTTTCTTTCTTGTGCATAGGATGTCTTATTCTGTGTCTTCCTTTTTCCGGGTTAGATGTAAACCTAATTACTGTTATCTTCATGTTGCTAATCGCTAATTTTCTCCTTTTGTTGTTGATTCTTTAGCATATCACGCTTAACTGCATCTCATGCCTTTTTCTTCACTGGATACTAACACTTAGCTGCATTGCTTGATAACTAGATGATAATTTCATGACCTCAGCAGTTGTTTGAAAAGAGTAGAAAGTGAACCCCCGTCCCCAACAGTGAAGGATAATGCCTATGACAAGTTATTTCCTAATCAAACTCTACCGAATAGCTTGAATATGTAAAAGGAATAAGCTTTTTGTTGAATTAATCCTTTACTTTGACTCTTTTGGTTAAACAAAGGAAAATGACAGGAGAGGTTTTTGGACCAAAGACGGGTACAATGACAGCAGATCAGGAGTGTGTGCTAATATCCCAGCTACACTATCTATAAAATCCTGCTTACATAATATTCACACTAAATTCTGTAATTATGAATCTCACTAGATTAACTTTCGAGATAATTGCTTGAATTTCTCGCCATAGTTCCGGAGTATTCTAATACATTTATTTGTTCAAGATATGCATTTGCACTTGAAGGGTTTTCTTCTTTCAGCTCTTATATCCATTGAAACTAATGGCACTTTGGGCTGATTGATGACTTTTAATGCTTACGATTGATTTAAATAGCCATTGGCGATCCTCTGGGGGGCTGTTGTGTTAGTCCATATGGGTACTCTATCATGCTGAACAAGGTAAGCACTAGAAAGTTTTTTCTTGTATTTATTCATTGAAAACACATTCATTTTCCCCCTTTTTAGCTAATTTTGGATTTGTTTCTATATTTTCATTCCAAGATCCAATATCATACTTGACTCTAGTTTGCTGGAATGCAAATCCATAAATTTTCTAAAGTCAGATTTCAGAGAATATTTATTTTCTTTCTTCGATGCTTTACCTAGTTGATGGGGTTTGCGGGAGGTAAGATTGTTATGGCACTTGAAGGAGGATATAATCTTGATTCTTTAGCAAATTCAGCCCTAGCTTGTGTTCAAGTGTTGCAACAACATAAACCTGTTACTGGTTCTTCAGAGGCTTATCCATTTGAATCAACATGGCATGTGATACAAGCGGTTAGTGCTACTAACCTTTGATTTTATTTAGTTATAAAATTAATTACCATGTAATATCAACTTATGGTTGCTTATAAATGAAGTGTGATAAATCTGTTCAGGTACGTATACATTTGAGCTCGTATTGGCCGACACTTGGAGATAGACTACCAGAAAAAGTGATCAGCAAGAGAACACCTCAAATTGACGTAAGACTTTCCCTTCCTTTGAAATTAGCATCTTCCACTTCTCTTTTGATTCCAGCAGCTTCTCTTGCACAATGCCAGGAGTTTTTTCTTGCTAAACATGGTGAGAGTTTCTGGGTGTCTGTCACCAAGAGAGATATATAATCAATAAGATGAAACAAACCTACTTTATTTATGTACTTTAAACCTCAAAACTCCTCAACATCTTATTTAGATCATGCACGCCTGTTTTTTCATCCTGTTGCATTTATCTTTTGTATGTTTGGCCTTTTCCATTCAACTTAATAGGCACCTTAAATTCTACACTCTTTTAGCACTCTCATAATGTTATCCTTTTATTATAGATCTCGAGCTCTGATTCTGATGGTGAGCACGAGAATGGTGTAATTCTAGTGGAAGATCTCGACACGGCTGCTGAGGATGTTATAGAAACACTTAAAAACCTGCAAGTAAATGAAAATTGTCAAGGTAACTGATCATTCTCTTTCTATTTTGTTCAGAAAAGGTTTTTTTACAAAGTTGTAAAATATTTTTTCCATGATTGTTGACTGCGGGCAGGTCAAGCTACTGCAGTTTCTCCTTCTTGGAGGTCAGATCTCTCTAAGATTGATATCTGGTATGCCGCTTTTGGATCCAATATGAACAAATCAAGGTTTGACTGCTATATCGAAGGTGGACAGGTAAACTAGCTATAAATGCCTTGATGTTTCTTTCATGGACTATGAGATGTCATGTACAAATTTAAAGCCCTTGAAACCTTCTAGTCTTGATTCAATATCACGTGTAATGTTGCTCATGAAATTCGACATCCTCTTATTTGTTAAGGCAGTTTGAAGTGACTCTTAATGCTGATACTGAGCTTTTTAATTTACCATCATGCTTTGTTTTGCTTTGGAGTTAGCTCGACTGTTAAATTGTTCATACTACATTAAACAGAATGATTTTTTCCAGCAACAGAACTCAATGTAAGCTACACAACTGTAGTAAATCCTCCCTTATCCAAACCACTTCCCTCCAGCATGAGATTTGGGACTGCCTGGAGTCAAGTTTCCAAGACAATTTAGGCAACCCTTGGTTCGCAGTAATGAATTTTGAGGCATGCATTCAGTTTGAAAATTGTCATTTACTCCTTTCTTCACTGGGTTGAAAATTAAAGGAAAACCCAATATGTTTTTCTCTTAAAATTTACATTCTCCAGCTTATGGAAACATCTTTGCATTATTCTTTATTTATAAATTCATAGAGTTGCTACATAAGATCGTCTTTGATCTCTTTATCCTTCCTTATTCATCTGTACATTGTGAAATGACTTCTAGTTGGAAGGAATGCGAAGACGATGTGTTGGTTCAATGGATAAAAGCCAGCCCAAGGAGATTATGTGGAAGACATTCCCTCATCGATTATTCTTTGCTCGTGACCATACGGCTACATGGGGTCCAGGAGGTGTTGCTTTTCTACATCCTGAAAGTGATATCCAAGAAAAAACTTACACACGTCTTTATAAAATTACGTATGTATTCTCTTCCTCTTTCTTTCTTAAAAGTTCATTTTCTGGGTCATTTCATTGGTTCTCAGATCTAAATGAATTAAAGAACATCCTAAGCCATTCAACATTTCATTGTATAATTGATATGCCTGATATAGTCCTTGTCTATCTTTTTTATCAAACTGCACTGCATAAATTATTATGAAAAGGCATATTTAGTTTCTGGCCTAAAATGGTGCACCTCTTAATCTTACAGGGAATTTGTGTTAATCCCTGTAGTTGTTGATTTCAATTTTTCTTCTTTGTTTATTTATTTGTTGTTTATTATCTTGTTACAGGCTAGAGCAATTTAATGACGTGTTGCTTCAAGAGAATGTTTTGAGTGATGACATGACCTGTCCATTATTTGATTTGACATTTTTACACACTATTGAAACTGAGAAGTGCATCTCAGTGGAGTTAGTCCAGGTATGCGGTGTAGCCTTGTATGCCATTTTTTACATCCATACTCAAATCTTACTTACGGATGGTTTTTTAGGATAGCATCCTTTTGTGATAATCATAATTTAGGACAAAAAAGTTGACTGATAGAAATTATTTGATAGCAGCTTATACTTGATACATTTGGTTTCGACCTTTTTTTTCTAGATGAATCAATATCTTATCAGGTAAGTTGATGTACGAAATAAGTGTACAAGAATTAAAATGCTGTCCTAAACACAAAACAAATCCGCAAGTCGAGACAGATATGAGTGGACTGAGAATTTCAAAAATGGAGGAAAAAAGGCATAAAGCATCTAATCCTCTGTAGATGATTCTCTAAACCATCAAAAATCCCCTCAATTCCTCTCCCTCAGCAGCAGTCACCAAACACACAACCGACGAGAATATTTTCTACATTCTTAGTAATGATAATCGTTCCAAAAATATACAAGCTTATTTATATACGATATCTTCCTACAATAATATAGTGTCAAACATACACAATAATATTCAATAAGACTTGATGCCCCTCTATGTGAGGGGTTCTCATTATATAGAACCAAAATCATAACTAAATATGGTAAACGCAATCTATCTAATATGGTACAATTATAATGATAATATAATCGTAATTTTCGACGATCTCCGTAATCTTATTCAATCTCATTGACATATAGGAACTGGCCACTTCTAGAAATAGGCATCAAATAAGTAGTAGATAATTTCGATTCCTATTAATCTCTTCACTAAATCTACCTAAACCTGTCCGCATTCCTCTCAAATTGGCACAAAATATCTTGCATCCTGAGCTTGCTCATAAGAGTGTCAAGCTGTGCTTTTCATAGTCCCTTCGTAAGAACTTCAACCAATTGTGTTGGCAGTGGGTTGGGGTGGAGGCAGAGAGGGCGAAGGGGGTCCTTTTCTCATTTTCTTTTTCTATTTTCTTATAAATGTTTTTATGGTAATAAACTTGAGTAGAGCAAAATACCCTCACAAAAAGAGGTGTCGCATGTTGAGCGACAATTTAACTGAATTTGGATTCTTCCATCCTATTGGACTGACTTGCACCAAAATTGGTGGTTTTGGGGGGCGCTGAACGCCAAAAAAAAATTGAATGGAGACTCGTCTCCAACATGTATGTTTATGCACGCACTTTACCTGTACATATCTAGAAGTATGAAAATTTATCTCAAAGCATAATAGGTCCTTACTCCATCTGTAAAAAATGTCTCGTTTCATAATCATCCAAACAGAACGTTTATTTGGGTTGGGGACTTGGTAATGGAGAATAAGGTTAGGCATCGAGGAATATCTGAGAAGATAGGGATTGATGATAGAGTTTGATTTAAATAAGATTTCAATGGTTTATTATTAGATAGGATTTTATCATTTTAATAGTTATCTACTATAAGTTCTATAATTTATAAATAGGACGCACGAACATTCCCTTGTATTTGAACTATTGTTATTGATGTTTGATAATGAAGATTGATACCAGATTTTCTCCCTCAATTTTTCTGCTCCTCTCAATTTATCTTTTTGTGTTAAGTACCTATCACTTCGGGGACCTGGAACTTTCTACTTTTGATTGATAACTCTGCATTCATTAATTTGTATGACTACACTGTTATATATACCCGTATTTTTTTTCTCTTTAACGCAGAGAGGATGGTACCATAATGTTGTTTACTTGGGAAAGGAGAACAACATTCCAATTCTAACAATGACGTAAGCATATATGCTTACCATCTCTTCAGCATTATTATGAAAGATACAAGTAGTATAGTTCATATATCATATTTTAATTGATATGAATTCAGGTGCACTCTTTCGGATATTGAAAACTTCAAGTCTGGAAAATTTCCTGTAAATTCACCCGCCAAAGCATATGCCAATACCTTGGTTAAAGGACTTGTACAAGGAAAGCAGCTGTCTGAAGCGGAAGCAATAGCTTACATAGAGGAAGCATCTACAAAGCCACTATAAATAAATTCGGTTGCTGGTTCTCTTGTAAAATTCTTCACCGTGATGTAGTATTTCTACTCTATTGCAACACTCTTGGTGTGATTTAGGAAAATCTCGTTTGTTTGATGCTTTCAAACTGATTTCCTGTTGAATATGTTATTTTACTGCTTTGAAGATAGATTGCTGTTAATGTTACATCCAAGATCTGGTTTTTTCTGGTGCATGTGATTACTTTGTTGATAAATTATATCACGAACGTTCAAAATTTGGTTTTATCTACTGCATATTCAATGAGCAATCACAGGGAAAACCCATATGGGATAATAGAAAGAACATATTTTTTCTACACAACACCGTTTCTCTTGTAAATATATTTATAATTTGTTCAATTGATTGCCACTGAAAAACATGGAAGATCCCATAGAAACTTAAAGGGTTAAAAATGAAAACATAAGCTATCAGAACCCATAAATAATGATAGAGCAGCATGATCTTTCTCAAATCAGGTCTACAGAGAGTTTTTGATTTGGCAAAATGACATTTGAACTTAGAATTTCATGTTAAGAACCTTACCTAGAGGTTGGTAATTGGTGATAGCATTATCATGCTTGTAACTAGTAATGTAATCTTTGGAATATGATTCTTCACGCAACTCGGCTATGGCAGCCATTCTTCTTTCCTTGTGCTCCTTCCACTTCCTTTTCTGCTCTTCAAGTTCTACTTTTGCCTTCTCAGCTGCCTCGGCTCTGCTTATGGCTTGTTCTGCTCGTGTCCTATGCTCTCCAATTTTCGACGTCACAGCTTCCAATTCTTTCTTCAAGTTCTTCAACTCTTGCTCGTTTTCATGCATCAGCTCAACAACTTGGTCCGTACGTTCAGCTTTCTCGATCAAGGAGTCGTATTCCTTTCTTGACATGGTGACACGAACCTCCATTCCACCTTCTGATTCTTCATAGTTTGCCTTAAACTCGCCCGTTTCTACAAGTTCCTCGCTCTGACTTTCATTGAGCAATTTCATCGTTTCTTTTAGTTTTCGATTCTCTTTTTTGGCTTCTTCAGCTTCTAATGCTAGCTCGTGAACTGCACGATATAATGCTGATTTTTCACTCTGAGCTCTTGCTTCAGCAGCCTCAACTGCAGCGAGTTTTGATCTCCCTTTATGAAGTTCAGATTTCAGTAATGCTATTTCGACTTGTGCCTCTGTATCTCTTTCTCTAGTCTCAATCATCTCGATTCTGATCTTCTCTAACTCGGCCCTCATGCTGTCAACATCCGTGTTCAACCGGCCTACCTCATCTGCATTAGTAAGTCCAGTCTTTGATTTTTCAAGCTGCGTCTCAAGTGAAGTGATGTAAGTAGCCGGATCCAAATTCTTTCTTTGTTGCTGTTCCATTTCTTCTTTCAACTTGTTTAACTCATGAATGGCATCAGATGCAACTTTCTGAGAACAACTGTATTGCTCATTTGCTTGCTTGAGTTCCAACTGCAACAAATCAGTGAGTATCGACTTTTCCAGAAGATCTTTTTCGAGCTTTTCTATACATTCTAACTGTGCTTCTGCTTCAGCTACTACTTTTTTGGCTGACTGTGTTTCAGTATTTTCTTCTACTACTTCATGAGCTTTCATCTGCATATGGAAAATAGTATCGTTGAGTTGTGAAATATTCATCATGAGCTCCTCGGTTTTCAGTTTCTCCTCTCGTAGAGCAGTTTCTATCGCCTCAACTTGCATTGTGGACTCAACCTTTGCGCGTCTGAGCACATCAAGTTGTGTTTCCATGTTTAGAACTTGTCCTTTGCTAGTCATATACTCATTTGTAACGTGTGAAAGTTGCTTTTGTACATTCTCAAACTTGAGTAATTTATCTGGCATCTCCTTAATGGTAGATTCTAGTTGATTTATACGGATATTAGATTCTTTGCATTCGTCAATGTATTTGATCTTCACGGAATCGGCATGCTTGAGCAAGGTTGAAAGTTCATCTTGTGTTTTCTGATAACGATCAAGCTTGAGGAGGGCCTGCTTATAGGCCAAATCCTTTACCTCAAGTTGAACTTTTACACTAGCCAAGTCCTTTAGTAGGCTTTCCACGTCTCTCTCCTCTAATTCCTGCGGTAGGAAATAACGAGGAAATTATGCTCGAAGAAATTTTGCTTAACCCAATACAGTTAAGGGTAAAATTCTTGATCGATTATACACAAAATCAAATATCAATATATAAAAACTTAGTTACTCTTTTAACGACAATCATATTTCAAGAAAGGTGGCGGCGTATGATTTTATATGAAACGAATCACAATTATAAAGTACAGAAAATCTTCAATTTTCTTCGTCGATTCCTTGCAGCCCCCTCCCCCACCATTACTGTCATCGCTACCACTACACGCCATCTATTCTATAAGTTTTGCATATGAGAGTAGAAGCAGTGTTCAAACCGAAATCAATATGAAAATAATGTGATTATATACAATTAGAAAAAAGTTTGATAACTAAGGTGAAACAATTCTGTAAATTAGGCGATTGTTTGATAGAATATATGTAGTACTTACATCACTCTTCGTAGGGCTATCTTTTCTTTCATCGAACAATGAGATTGCAACTTGAACCGATTCAATTGGTTTGGTATCAATCTCTCCCATACTTCGAAATTCAGCTATAGTAAATTAGTAATCAACTTCGCAAGCAAATAACATTAAGATAAAATCACAAGTTCATAATAAAAATGTAAAAGGTTAGAAGCCTACTTGTTACAAAATGATCTGAAAAATAAAATGTACCTGAAAATGAGTTAAAGAGGAAACCAAGAAGTTGTGTTGATGGGAAGAAGCGGTTGCCAGAACACTCGACGTATTTATCATAGTACAAGATTATAGGATTAATCGAGGCCTCCAATGTTGTCTGCATTGAAGAATCCATGGCATAATAGATTAACAAAAATCTTTGTAAAGATCGTTCGGGCTTTTTTTGCAAAGCATCGCGCGAACTTTTGTCGTGATTAATTATTGGGTCATGTGGCTGTCAAATAACTATGCTTCATATTATCTCATGTCCCTTTTTTATTTTTTACGTAAACTATTTATTTCGGGTACGAAATGTAAAATCTCGATGTGACATATTTGACGTTGATTAATATTATCATATTACATTTTATTAAATACAAATGTATGCTGCATTTCAATTTATTTCTTGAGCAAGCAATCAACGGTCTTGATTGCTAACGTTTGATCGGTGAAACACAATGTGACACAACACGTGTTTTAATTGAGAATTTAAGTTTATGATAATTGAATCAAGGTTGTTACCTTATTCGGTTGAGCGATTTTTTTTTTTTTTGAATAGTGATACTAGTGCATATTTAGTTTTAAGCATTGGTTAACTCGTGTCTCTGACTTTATCGGTGTCATTTAGGGGAAAAAAAAATCTAAGAGGAAACAATAACTTAAAAGAATATAATTAGAAGGAACAATAACTTAAAAAGAGTATATATATATATATATATTTTTTATATGATTAAAGACTGCAGAAACGAAGCTCAATTGTTGAACTTTGGATTATGTACGCCTTTTGTTAGCTTTTTAAAAGTCTTGGACTTAATTACGACAAAATAGAAGTTACAAACGCAAAAACGCAATCCTAGGCACAACAAAATTAAGCCCCTGTTTGGGAGCCATTTTCAACAAAAAAATTGACTGTTAACTACAACAGGTGGGTCCCGACTGTGAGACAGCAAGTCAAAAATGGCTGCTGATTTTCATCTGTAAAGATAAAAAAATGGATTTTTTGGATGGAAAAATGGCTACCAAAGAGACTCTAAGTCTTATATATCGAGATGTGCCTAGTCATAATAAAGTGAAGAATTTTTAATATTAATCTATTTTTTGCGTATTCAAAATATCATAAAGACTAGGTATATTTCTTTTGTAACCAAAATAACATGACTAAAAACACGAAAAAGCAGAATCAAAATTGTCTAAAAAAATGAAATAATAGATGACGTCGATGGACTTTATGGTCCATCTTCATAATTATTGATTGTATCAAAAAGAGCGATGATACTTAAAAGAAGTATCTGTCGTTGACTATTAGTGTAGTCTACTACGATGGTGTAATCTTTTAATCATGCCTTCAAAAAGAACTATTAATGCCTCAATTTTTGCATTTTTACGTCTTTTTCTTACTTTTAATAGTTATTATCACGCTGGAGGTATTGGACCCATTTTAAGATTTTAGCCATGATTCTACCCTTTGAGCACAAAATTATTTTTTTTGAATCCAAAATAACACGACAAAAAAAATAAAAATAAAAAAATCTAATGTACAATCTCTGAAGCACACGGCTCAACTAAAACTTGTATTGTACTCTGAACACCCAAAATAATTCCCTAAAATAAAATAGCACAGTCCTCCGCCTCGAAGAATATAAGGTAAATAAACACAGCAAGGCATCACAAAGTGAGATACAAAAATGTCGGACGAGGAACACCATTTCGAGTCCAAGGCAGATGCCGGAGCCTCCAAAACATACCCACAGCAAGCTGGAACCATCCGTAAGAACGGCTACATAGTCATCAAAGGCCGCCCTTGCAAGGTATGTATACAGTGTTGCGGTTCCATGGTTATTTTGGGCTTCGATATCATATTGAATATTGAGATTTAATCTTAAAGGTCGGATCTTTTGATTTTTCTTTTTTTATGATATATATTCTTTGCTTGTTTATTTTAGATTGATTCTTTTTCCTGTATTTCATTTCTTGGAATTGTCGCAGAAGAATTTGTTTGTTGATTTCTGGATTTGTTTATTAGACTGTAATATGTAGGATTATAGGGTTCTTTTTATTTAAATTTTAATATGTATGCTGGGATCTAACTATATTAATATTTTTTGTTGTTGTTTTCTTCTTCTCAAGGGTAAATTATAAATTCTTGGTTTGGCCTTGGTTTGGAGATTGAATTATTATATGGATCGTCTTTTGTTGTAAACATTTGTTTTGATGTATTACTATCAAGGCGTGGGATCAGATATGAGGAGAAATTCAATTTCGCATTTCAGAACCCTTGTTCATTCGAAAGCTCTTTTACAGATATAATGTGAGTAAATACAGCAGCAGCAGAATTAACAAATGCAGATGAGTGTGGTGTTATGGTTGATTGTATTGGTTTTAATATTAGGGTTATTAAGAAGTTGATTACACAGAAATGTTGTCGGATAAAAGCGTTTATTTGCTGTAATTAAGGATAGAGTGCATCTACCTACATTCATTTTGAATAAATTTTACCAAAACAGTAACACTTGTCACTTCCCTTCTCTTTATAATATGGAATTCATTTGGGTTGTTATATTAAATATCATTTTTTAGAGAGTGAATTATTTTCATCCTCTTCTTTAGTTGGCTGGCGTTGTTGCTGTTGAAGTTACTGGAGGACCTGAAGTTCCATTCCATCCTGGAAGGCCGGTCAGTGATTTCTTTAACTTAAGTGATGCATTTAACAATTTCCTGTTTATAACCTGCACATATGAATTGGAATATGGACATTTTTTGAGTTATGATGTAGTGTTTTTAATTATTAAGAATCTGCTTTAAGCATTAACATAAAGGCTTACGACATTGTAAATTCATGAATAACATTTTTATTTAGAAGTTTGTCCTAATCAAATTCTTCACACATTATAGTGGTTTCCTAGTCAATTGTATTAATTGGAACTTAATTAGTTTACTTGGAACCAGGATTTCTCAATTGTTTATAATGACAGGAAGTCAAAATAGCTAGTTTCTCCATCTTTCATACTTGTTACAAATAATAAAAATATTATGGATAATTTATAGTAAAATTCTATAGCCTCTTGTTGTCTCATCGTTAGGTAGAATTGTTCTGCAAGGACAATTAATCTTTTTTATACTTTTGTCATGATTAACCTGTGTATTTCAGACCACCTTTGTTTTCATCAAATTCATTGAAAAAACCTTTCATGTTTTTCTTTATAGTCTTGATTAGTCTTTCAAATTATTTGTCGAAAATCTTTAAAGACAACTGGAGAGCGGAAGATGTTGTAATAGCTTGAGCTTCTTTCATCAATTTTCTAATATGCCTAGATAATGTTATGTTTAACATATTTCTTTCAGA